GGTGAAGCCATGTTGACTGCCCCTAATGGCCTTTTGTTTCTGATTTGAGCATTACAGGGCATCCAGACTCAAATGGCTGGCCAGCTGGGGGTGAGAGGGTGAAGAGAAACGTACATAATATTTCTGACTTTGCTTTTCCCATCTTCCACATCCCTCACTGCAGAAATATGATTTTTAACATTTCCTATGAGACTCTATCTTATAGAAGATTATCCAAAGCATTGAATGTTTGTTTTTTCATAAACTTCCCATGCATTAATTGCCAGGTTTGCTCAGATTATCATAATGGTCCTACTACCAAATAGGAATGTTTGAAAAAGGAATTTCTCTTTCAATGAGGTCTTACGCCCTCTTCTATTCTGAAATAAGAATTCTCTGCACGTCCCTATTAGCACAATTAGTACTTATATCAGCTGCAACATTTAACTCCCCACTGTGGATTGTAAAACAGAATTCTGAAAATTAAATTTGCTCTGATGGAACTTCCAAGACTCTTACAAGACTGCTAAAATCAGTGTACTCTAGTGAAAAATTTTGATAGCTAAGTAGGAAAAATGTCCCCTAGGGTCATCTTCCTATCTATGAAAAATAATATTGGTTGAATACCAGTGTGGCAATGTTGACGTTTGTTTAGCAAGAATCAATACCAACATACTGCCCTTCTAATATCAGTTCTAGGATAAATGGATTTTATTGCTTATGTTTCTCTGTGTACTAGGATATACAATATCATTCTTCCAAATGTCAATCTGTTCTATTTTGCATTGAGTTTTTAGTAATTTTTTTAGATGATTAAGTAAATCACCACCCTTCATTAGTCTCTCCCTTTTTTATTGATACAACTGAGACTTTTAGAAAGAATTTATATCATTCTTTTATATCTTGAGGAAGGTTGCATTTGGAAACAAGATCAAAATGACATCTACTTTGCTGTGGTGGTGTTTAACATATCTTGTCATATTTGTTTTCTTACAGTGAAAGATTTTTTTTAAGATTGAATAGAAATGGTTTGCCAAAATGTCCAGAAAAGCCTGAAAGACACTGTTCTCTCTTTGTGGTGAGTTCTTCCTATTATCCATCTTTGTTGTGCTGGGTATTGAAAATAGAAGTTGGATTAAATTGTTTTCCTGGGGTTGACTCACAACTGCTCCCTAAGCTTTTACATTGTTATGAACATCAATTCTAAAGGCTGGTTGAAATGTATTGCTTAAGTCTCAACTTGAATGTTTTCTGGCAATGTGGAAACACTCATCTAAACTTCTATGTGGATATATGTACCAGTCTTTCTCCCTGCAACAAGGACCAGTTAATTTTCCTCTTTGTGCATTTTATACCCAAAAGATCGCTTGTGCAGCACTCCATGTACTTTCAGAATATTAGGAACTGCACAAATGCATTGCTGCTGTTCAAGGCACACAGCAAGTCTCTTGTGTTGTCCCACTGGTTTTGCTGCATTACAGCATATTCTAGCCTATGATATTTTAGGAAAGTCTTTTTGAGTGCATGATCACCAATTTAAAGTGTTTAAGGGATAATTTGCTAATGCTGTATAAATGAACTGTTACTGTTCGTTTATCACTTGCACTGGCAATGAAAGCAGTGTGTAAAGATCTCTTTAAATGTCGCATTTTAATCACGAGTCAGAAATAATGAGGTTCTGATCTTGCACAGGATTTGGGTAGCAGTGAACTCAGGAAGGACATCTATATCACTGTGCACATTATCCGAATAGGTAGGTATAATCATCTGTAAGTAGAAATCTTACATTTGTAAGACATGACAGTAAATAAAACTGCTTGGAGTCAGCTTTGGGATTTGTTAGATTAGCTAGGCCTTTGAATAGATTTTTGGATAAGAAAATGCCTGGCTTTGATGGAAAAAATGCTTTGTATTTCTCAGTGGTTTTTGTGTTATTTTTCAAGTGTACTGCTAACTGAGTTTAGATGCAGGACACTTCACTATCACAAAGCAAACTAAAAGTGTCAAATATGAACTGTCTTAAGATGATGGAGTTGTCATTGGGGATCCATTCTTGTCCCAAAGAGAGTAATTTCAAACATCCTTTGTTCATAGGAAAACTTGCCTGGAAAGCTAATGTACCTAATTAGTATATAATACCTGATGTATATCTGAAATTGTTCAGATGAATTTTGTCTTCTCCCTGACCCCTTTAAAAAGGGAGAGAGGGAAGGAAGTGGAGGAAGTCTCATAATAATTTTATTTCATGATGCTATAGGCAGATAACAAGTCCTGTAGAACAAAGCAGAAGAGAAGAAAAGCATATATTTGTGTTAGGTGTTTGTTTTAAGAAGTTATTCTTTGGGCTAAACTGATGTGAAATAATAATCTTTGGGTCTGCTTCTGATCTCTTAGATATATTGTTTTCTTTGCAAACGGTCTGTAGTTGCATCAGTGCAGTACTAAATATAACTTTTCCTATTTTTGAAAGGTATTTTGTTTTGAAATACAGTTGCTCTTACTTGTGCTGAGTTCAGAAAAAAACTTGTTACAAAGTAAACACTATTTTACAGCTTTGAGGAATAATTTTTCCTTGCATTTTCACCATGTTTTAGAGTTTCATCAGACCACTAAAATACTGTGTTTTAGTTTTATTGGCAAGGATTGGGGGAAGTATGGTAAACTCTGATGTAATGCAAGTATAGTTGGTATGAATAAGTGCTTTAAAGAAGAATAAGGAGTAGAATTTTTCCTATAGTATAGTTTTCAGATATATTCTTAGTCAAGTTTATAAATGAACCACTGAAATATTAAAAAGTTAAAATAAGATTTGAATGCTGCATAGTGTGAAAATGAACAATGACTCTTCCAGCTGATGTGATGCATAGCAATATTTGGAGGAAGCGTTGCCCTGCAGCAACTGCAACCATAGGCTTTTCTTGTCAGAAATTAAGACTTGGTGGGAAAGATACATAGCTGCCACTACACAATTGAATAAAATGGTTAGAAATAGGGCAGTTTAAAATGCCAGGAACACAGTGTGAATATTGATCAATTGTATTTAAATCAAATAGAAAAGGTTAGGAAAAATATTTTATTTCAAATGTTTTCCTTGGCTGCCTTCTTTCTTTCCTTATCATAAATTGTTCTTCTTCCCTTTGTAATCTTTCTTTCCCGTGTTTGATCTCTACTTGATTTTTCTGCAGCTGGTCAATTATCCCCTTGCTAGCCAGTTGCCTATTTGAAAGCAGCATTTGATTGCTAAATTGTAATGGCTCAATCACAGCACCTCTTGTATAAATCATGGGTAGCAACAACCACAGTAAAATAATTCGTATTGGACAGCAAATGATAAGCACTCTGTCATTTCTGAACTCCAGATTTAATTTGGTGGTGTCATGAGTGTGCTATCACTGGGTATCAGAAAGTTTTGTTGAGTAGAGGTCATGAGACGGTGAGCAGTACCTCTGGTCTGAGACCTTTCAAGATCATCACGTATTTAGTGGACTTGCTATACCATTTGTTACCCTAATGTAGGATAAAGATGGACCAGATTTATGATGAGCACACTTGGCATCGTCTGCTCATACCTGTCACCATACTGAGCTGCATTGCTCTCTGCCTCCCTTCTGTGGTTTTAAGAGAGAGACAGTTCATGGATTATGGATCAAATATGTATTTTGCTTGGCAGGACGAATGGGAGCTGGAGAAAAGAAAAATGCCTGCAACGTACAATATAGACGGCCTTTTGGCTGTGCAGTCCTCAGTATTGCAGATCTGCTGGCAGGAGATTCAAAGGATGACCTCGTCTTAAAAGTATACATGTAAGGAATGGTTTTTTTCTTAATTTTTAGAAGTATCTTAGTGTCAGTTTGCATCAGAAGCAGTGGTGGTAAATGCAGTGTGAGTAAACAGCTGTAGCTCCTTTCTGTTCCAAAACAGGGTAGTAACTAATTTTTTTTTTTTGTCACAGTTGGAAAATTTTGGCTAGTTCTACAGATGTGTTTGTAAAGTAGGATAATGTTAAAGATAAAGATTACATCCTTTTAGATCTTTGTGTGTGTTTCAACATTTTTCACATCCTTATAAGAGCTCCTGGAGCTCTCTTTTTATGGCAACGTCGAGTGCTTTTAGGATTTGTTTAAATGTTTTGTGCTGCCTAGGCAGCTAGTGGAAGTACTTTGTAACTACAGAAAAATGCAGGCAGAGTATCTTTTTGTGAAATTATGCAATTGTATAATGGGAATAGCAAAAACATAAAAGGCAGTTAGTGCTGGAGGATGAAAAATCAAAAATAGATTTTAAAACGAATCATTAAGTAGTGGATTTTGGCTGATAGCAATTGGAAGAAAGTTCAGTTTTCTAGTTGTAGCAACACAGTGCATGTAATTGCCTGCTGATTTTGGACATTATAATAAGAACCATTTTGTGGGGTGGTCTGTTCTATGTACATAAACCTGGGACTTTCCTCTCCTCTGCACCCCTCTGTGCTGAATTAGAGCTGGTGGAATCAGTGCTGCAGAAAAGTGTGACAGTGGATATGCGAGCTGGCTCTTATTTAGACTCTCAGGACGTTAAAGTCAAACAAGCATTTGCTGTTCATTAACAAATTGTTAAATTTGTCTGCCTATTCTGAGTTTTTTTCTTTTCTGTATCTTGCCTATTTATTTTAAACTAGTAAAAACAATGGAAGAAGAAATGTTGCTCAAAACCAGATTTGATGCCAAAACTAACTCCACTCTAAACCATGAAGAGTGATCATTAGAATGTGGTCAGTTTTATCTTATGGAAAAGTAGCTATTTTATAAATATATACTGAAATGTAATTTGCTCTTTCACTGACTACCTCCTGAAGATCACATCCTGTTTTAAATAACTTTGAAGTGTACAGCACAGATTTTATTTCTGATGAGACAGGCTTTGAGTCCTGTGTCTCCTCTTGAGTGTCACAAGATAGATTTCTGTGTGGTTTAGCACTCAAGGATAGAACTATACAGATAATGAACTTGATCACAGCTGAGTTCCTGAGCAAATTTGCTCCTATCTTTCACCCACCCTTTGCCACATGAAGCAGATATTTTCATGGTGCCTTTCTCAAATTTTATGAGCGCTCTCACCCTTTCAGTTGAGACGAGCAGTTTCATGCGGCTTTATTAGCTTCCTATTGTGTTACTAGTTCTGTGAACAAAAGAGGATTTGTTTAGAGATATGTGGTGAAGCTGGTCTAAAAAACTTGTGTTCCTATTTCAGAGTTAATAAAGTTATTTTTCTAGGTGCAACACAGAGAGTGACTGGTATCAGATCCATGAAAATATCATCAAAAAGCTGAATGCACGTTACAACTTGACAGGCTCCAATGCAGGTGAGTAAGTTACCACATTTCTGTTTGCATTCTTAAGATTTTCTTAGTTTGTTGAAGAAGCTCTGTGGAAAAGGATGAATGTCTGTGAAAAAGAGATTCTTTCACATAGAGAAGAATACTCATATGAAGTGAAAATGTATGTTATTGCTGCTCGTGTGCACATTTAGGAAAAAAAAAAAAAAAGCCACTGAATTTTCTTCAAGGAGCTATGTGGTTTTATTCTGTGCTGAGGAGCTCTGGTTTCCTGTTGAGTTCTGTTCACACGTGGGGCTCATGAAATTATTGTTCCATGTTGCTTGACACTTATGCTTCACATTTTCATCAGGAATATAAAATTTTCTATAGACATTGTATATTGATTAAACTTAGAAAATATTGAAATGGGAGCTACCAGTGTGCTCTGCATCACTGCTGACCACCTGAGCAAGATGCAGAGTTCATCATAGAATCAGAATGGTTTGAGTTGCAAGGGAATTTTAAAGGTTGTCTAGTCCAACCCCCTTGCAATAAGCTGGGGTATCTTCAACTAGATCACCTAGCTTAAAAAGTTATCCTTGATGCATTCCTGGAGTCTCCTGGATCACCTACAGCTCACTGTGCTACTTTTCTAGCAGATGTCTGGGTGGTTGAAGTCCCCTAGCAGGACAAGAGCCTGCAAGTGTGGTGCCTCCTGTAGCTGGAGTAAGAAGGCTTCGTCAGTAGGTTCCCCTTGATCACGTGGACTGTAGTAGTCACCAACCACCAGGTTCTCTTTGTTTCCTCAATCTCTAATTCTTACCCATAAGCTTTCAATGTGTTTGTGGCTATTCTTCAGAAACAGCTCTTCACACTCTATCCATTTCTTGATGTAGAGGGCAACACTTTTGCCCCTCCTTCCTTCCCTATCCCTTCTGAAAAGCCTGTAGCCATTGATAGCAGCATTCCAGTCATGGGATTTGTCTCACCAAGTTTCAGTTTGATATTTAAGAACTCACCAATAGTCCTCCATGGTCAACTGTGTGCCACTCTGTCATCAAAATAAACTGGGGTGTAAGACTTAAGAAAATCTGAGACAACTGACCTTTGTTATTGTCAGATGGTGGTTTGACCCACGGGAGATGTTGGATTTGCTTTTTTTCTTTATTTTTAATACCAACTTGTTAACTTTTTTCTGAATGCTGTCATCCAGGGATGCAGTCAAACTTGAAATGAAACCTGAAATGGAAGCTTATGAGTCTATTGTCCTTGTATTCAAATATTATTTTGTCTCTGTGAAACACTAATTAGTTGAAATATGACTATAGAAAAATCTCATATGAACTCATTTTCCAGGTTGTACTGTAATTGTAGTCCCTTTCATGTAGTAGACTTCATGCTCCTTTAACTTGATTTCAAGCGTAATGATTATCTTGAAAACATATGTTCACCAATCTTTAGTGTATAACCAAGAAACACATAAAAGCTCAGGTTACTTATCAAGACTAAGTTAAATATATAACTGTTTCTAATCCTATTATTTTCTCATATAGAGTCTAGCCAGATGTATACTTTATTTAAAGTGTAGAATGTCATGCATCTTATTGGACAATAAATACAAAATCATGTAGTGAAAATACAAGAGCACATTACTGAGTAAGTATAATGTTGGGCTTTTTAAAAATGTTAACCATATTCAGGAAGAGCAACTTACTCTTGGCCATTCTGACTGTTCATGTGATACCTGCTTACTCTGTGATACATCATTTATCCTGTTCCATTCTTATGAAATGAGAGTTCACAGTTAAATACCCAGTTGTCTTAGAAGACATTAGATAAATTTGAATACTCTTAATTATGTGAATATTCAATGTGAAACTTGTGTGGGACATTAGGGGTTTTTTTTTCCAGGTTACAGGGAGCTGGACACTAAAGCTAGCAAATTGAAAAGTGTTGTCAGAGGGAGGGAGGCAGAGAGAAGAGCAGCACAGAATTCCAGTGGTGCATGTGAAGGTTGAGAAGTGAAAAAGGAAGTGAGCAGTAATGCCACTTGGAGTATGGAGCAACTAAAAGATAAACAATGAAAGGTTATTTATATTGCACATGTGAAATTTGTTCCTCTGTGACTGCTTAGCAGCCTGAAAAAGCACTTGTAAGGCTTTAGCAATATGTTCAGATACTTCTGCTGACACCTCATGGAAAATATTGTTGCTACACTAGTTTGTATTTTTGCTTTGCTGTCTTTTTCTGTAATAGTGTTGAATGGCTGGTTCTGAAGCCTCATTAGCCTTGTCTGACAACTTATGGTTGTCAAAAAGGGAGAAAATCTTGCATTACAGGAGACATGGGTCTTTTCTCTCTCTTAAGAACCATTGTAGATATCAACCAAATATAGGAAAAATTGAATTTTTGCTATATATCCCACTTGCCCTTTTCAAATCACATTAAAAAGACTTAAGAAAGGCAACACAGTGAACAAACAACACCAAAGATGCTTCAGACTATTGTGTATGCTCTAGGCTTGTTCCCTCTTCAGATTCTGTCCTGGACAGTTTCTTTCAGCTCAGGAGAATTTCACCCAAAGTCTTTAGTTTCCACAAGTTGTTATGTCCCACTACTGAAATATTTTATTAGATAATTCATAATATTCTTCAGGAAAAAAAAAAAAAAAATCTTCCATTTTTGTGGGGAAAACTGAAAAGGAACTCAAAATGTACTGTCTTGCATGTAAAACACATTGCCAGACTATAGTATTTGTATTTAGTATTCAGACCCCTCCTCCCCAAAAAAGTACTTTTTCTACTTTAAGTTCTGACAATTCTGAAGTACAGAATCCTCTTGCATTTTACTATTAGCTTGTGTCTAAAAAAGATCAAATAAAGGCAAATTACTGTAACTTCTTAATACAGCCCAGAAAGGAGCGGGGAACAGATGTTCATCCCCTTTCTTCTTCATCCATCTTCAGTGGATGCAGGAATGGAAGGACTCAGTCTCATGCACAATTCAGCATCATTTGCTGGAGTGGGAACTGGAATGTGTTTTCTGCATGAATTTGCAGCATAACAGACTGCAGTAGCAGGTTGTGGATCAAATTCCCATTCACCACTAGTCACTGCAGCTGGTATCAGGTATCAGCTTACTGGAAAACACCTGGTTGCCTGGTGTAGGAGGTGAAACCATCAAGGCCAACTTGTACAGCCTTTGCTGTGATTAGTAGCATTGTTATTTCTTACATTGAGTTTGAAGTATTTGTAGAATAAGTACTATTAGATCTAGATGATTTCTTAATTATTAAGTAAACTAGGTTTCAGTAACATCTGGAGTGGAGCTGACTATAAAAACTATTTTTCCTATAATATTTTTTTCTTAGAATTAGAAGCTAGTTACTTTGCTTTAAAATGCAAAAATCTGTGGGGAAAAAAAAAGAGTATTCCTATTCCAGTTTTACAAGGAGAATAACACATTTGTATTTCTGTACCTGTAGGACCAGAGATCAGTGAAATGTATACTACAGATATAGAAAACAGTTAGTGGCTTATCTCAAACCACATAAAATCATTCTTCATCCTTTTATAATGTGTTTTAGATAGCAAAGCCTAGCCAAAGTCATTGCTAGCAATATCAAAGCTTGAGCTTCTGCCAAATCTCTTTGAAGGGTTTAAAGTGCGGATCACAGTTGCAGATCTTATTCTTTGAGTGTGATTGTGAAACTATACTCTGGACCTTTCTTGGGGCTACAATAAGCAAATAGTATTGGATGATGGCTGCTTTTGTCTTTTAATAAAGCAGGTACTAATGCACGAAGTGCCTTGTGAAATGTTATTGATCAAATAGCTTCTTCATTTGCCCACAGAATTCCTGTGCAATGAGTGAACCTGTTGATTTTTAAAATGGTTTAAAGTGCATTTTGGGACAACAGGCAAGAGAACAAAGCCAAATTTAGATTGCATTAAGCATGGTTTTACACAAAAATGAATTAAAAAAACCAAACAAACAGAGAATGCAACTTCAATTGTACATACTTATGCAGAGTCATGGATTTCTTTTTTTCTTCTGATTTTTAGAATGAATTTATCATGTGCATCTTTGGTTTCTTGCGTATGACAGTACCTTTTTTTAATTTCCTCCAGTTCTTTAGACTTCCAGAAGTTGAAATATGTTTTTTATTATTTTATTTTATTACAGGACATGATAATGAAAGGAATATCTAGTAATTAGAGCAGTCTCTTATGTCTAGTGTTTGGAGCACTTCATTGGGCTCTGAAAGTAAAGGGTTCTTGTCCACAAAAATTACTCACAATGGTGAGCAAGTTCCACAGTTAAACAGTCATGATTCTTAAGGTAATCTCTGCTTAAATGCTGTCAGTGTCTTTGAAGTACCTCCTTAGGCACAAGATCTTCTGGTAGGCACCTAAAGCTAAGGTAGTTTTCACTTCCACTACTGCTTGAAGTTGAGAACAGGTGGGTAGCTGGGCGCACCCAGGACACTTGCACTGTCAGGGTATAGGTGGGCTAGATCTAACTTCCTGAGCACTAGGCTGAAAAAAAATGCTGGAGATGATTGCTGTGACTCTGGTGCTCATGCTGTTTTGGGGAATATATAAATATTCACTGTGTTTACCAAAGCAATTGTTTATTTCAGTGTTTGAAACTTTCTTCAAAGACAGAAAGTGTCTTGGTTCAGACTGATTTGGAAAAGGACTTTCAGTCTGTCCCTCACATCCCTGATGAGCATGCTCATCTCTTGTCTTCTCAGACTTCCCTGCAGCAACTGTGGGGATAGTGAAAGTGGCTCTAAAACCTGTCAAGTAGTGCATGATTTTCCTGAGTGTGATCTGAATTCATGTCCTCTTAGCAAATCCTATAGAGGTGGGATTTAAACCTTGGTCTCATGTTGTATGTGATATTCTCCCCAATTAGTTATCTTACAGAAAGCATATTAAAAAACTGATGAAAAATGCCCTACAACTTCCTTTTTCTTTGCCTTCCTTTGAACAGAAAGACTGGGTAGTTTAATTTTAAGGGAACACAAGATATTCCTTTTG